ACACCATCGAAAAACTCTCCATAAATTAATGGATAAGAAAAGGGAATATAACAGCCAACAACATTAAAAATCCATGGAACGTTGGGCATATTAAAGGCATCTACTTATTTATCGCTTTGTTTGAGGCGAGAAGTAATATTTTTGACCAAAGCCAAATGCTGAAAGTAAACCGCAATATCAGACGGTGAAGGAATGTAAGAGCTTCTAATATATGCATTACAAGTATGTGGGTTTGTTTTAACGCCCGCAAATTCAGCAGTTGCTGATATAAAAGGATCAACCAAAGATGACGGTAAGCAACGATTAACCGCAATTTACACTTCCCCACCAGTTTTGTACAATTTGTCACACCTAAAGATGTCAAACTCCGAGTAAAAAATCTCCCGTCAAATATCCTCGGCTTAAGCCAAGTTTCTGTAAATGCTATCGTAAGATAATTAGAATTAACAGAACTTACAAACGCATCGTGTAGTTTCGTATTAAGACCACGGACACTTTGATGCAGTATTTCCAGCATACGCCTGCTCTCCATTACTCCTTTGCCTGGCGAACAAATTCTTGAATAAAAAGGGCTTTTGACCAAAACTTTGCCGAAATAATTCGTTCAAATAGGGCTGCCGGAGCGATAATTTTGAACGAAGCAATATTGCTCTGATGTGCTGGATTAAACTTAAAAACGTAAAACTGCCTTGTATCCTCCACTAAGAGCTTGTTATTTAAGTACTTCACAATCGCTTCCAGCGGCGGTCCCCTCTGATGTGTTTGGTAGATAGATAGCTCTTCATCTGTTCTTTTCTCTACTCTTCTCTGGCCCCTAACAAGAGTAAGAAGCAGCATCGTGTGAACTAATCAGCTCAACTAAGGATGCCAGGCTGGTTGACGCAACCAGCGATGCTGACACGGTCGAGGGCCCCGATGCTCCAGAACTTGCAGCGTTCGTTAATGTCGGACTATTCACTGCCTCAGCATAGCTAACCCTCGGGGGATTAAAGGTTTCCATTAACTCCAACAACTCCATCAACTAAGTTGTCCGGTAACAGATCAATAGGCGGCACGCCAGCAGGTCCTTCAATGGAGGGAGACCAGGTCCAAAGTTGGGGATATCAGTCTGACCCGCTTCCAAAGGGGACGGACAGCACGCCACAGCGCCATTTGAACATTTTTTTGTTTGGTTTGTGTAAATAAAACTCTTTGCATTTTTTTTTGTCGTTTTAAAAATTATGCTAATGTCAGCTGATTAGCGTAAGCTTTTCTTGTCAAATGTAATGTAACCAAAAGCATTGTAAGAATCAAGTCAACAAACGGCATAAACTATAAATGAGTGCTTTCAATCTCAATAAGGCCTCTAAGATTCTTTCAACTGTGTTTTGATTTTGTTGCGGTGTTAGGTTTGGCGGGCATTGTTAGGGTTCGTCTCGTCTACTCATCCTTCGGTGGTGGATGTAAAAGCTTCCTATGTGGTGGCTACAAGAATTACATTGACTAAATATACATACTCTAGATCGTTCGATTCTCTTGTAATTTTTTGGAATAAAAGTAGGGTTTTATGTCGTGTGTCCGAAGTAACGATCTCCGTTTCTGTGACCATTAGTAAGATTACGGCAACAATTAGCATTCAGGCGGATAGATGGACTGAGAACACACACACATTTCAAATAATGTGTAGGCTACACAGGGCCTCTGATGCTTTTTGGTGTGTGCTGTAAATAGTTTGACGAAAGAATGAAATTTCAATATTCTATAATACCGAGTTGGTCTGGCCGATTTTAAAAGTTAATTTTTTGCTTATTACTCACAAGTTAAAGGAAATATATCTACAGAAATGGGAAAAATTTATCATGCCTACCCAACGTTGTAGTGTACCAAAATTATATTTGTTTTCAATATTTTTATAACGCGCCGAAGCAAGCGTCAAAAATCGCATAAAGTATATAAATTCTTGTCCAGTTTCAAATTCGGAACGCACCTAAGCATGTCCGCCTGTTCGACTGTCCGTCTGCGCAATCGTGCGAGTCTGTGGCAAACATTCTTTCGTTCACGAAAATGATGACACCTCCTACAATTTACTAGCTACAGTCTATCGACTATAGTTACCGCGATTTGTACTACATTTTTAAACCGGTTTTGTAGATGTTTTTAAGATTAAAATGAGTTTCCGATCTACATTTTCGATTAACTGTAAGTTAAACTTTCTGCGTAATGTCAACCAACAGTTTCAGTGATCAGTCTCGTGCGTAGCAATACTAGACGGCAGACAGGCACCTCTAAATCAATTCAGGAATTCGATATGATCTCAACAAACTCATATATAGGAGATCAGATGAAAATTTCTGGTTATTACAAATGAAAGTTAATGCGGCACTAGTAGTGCTACGCTATAATTTCCAATATTATTACCAAAACAAGCAGAAATGGTGAGCCGACCTAAGAATCTATTTAATTTGAAAGAATTCGGCTGGCAAGATTTTATGCAAGGTCCTTGTAGCCGGAAGTTTGCTGCGTCCGGCCGTTATTTACTTTACTCTCTGCAGAATTCTCTTAATAGTGTAAAGGTGACTTCAAAAGACAAGTTTAGAAACTACTTGGACAAGGTTTCCTACCTCAATGTAATTATTAATGCATAGTAAGGGCCATTATATACTTAAGTAAAATTTACTGTCAATAACAGAAATATATAATGTAAATACAAGTGAAAACACTAGAGCTGGCCAAAGTGAACCATTAAATGACCTACACCACCAACGTTTATTCGCATAACGGTTTTTTCAAAATAGTCGTTCGATCTAAGCCATTTGTACCAAGTTTCAAGATAATATCTTAAAGACTGCGGCTTGCAGGTTGAACATAAGAAAACAACAAAGACAGACGGAGAGACGGACAAGAAAGTTTAGATCGGCATAATAAAAAGGGGGATCTATCTTAAGTCTTTCTGGGTGATGTATACATGCCTCTTAACTTAACCATTATAACCACCTATACTATTAAATAGGGAGTAAAATATATCAATACTTTTCATCACCTTTGCCCCCAGTTGTAATTTAATAACAAAAACGATTGTATTTTGCAACCTTCCAGTTATCTAAAATACCGTTTAACGTTCATTTCTCGACAAGACAATTTGGTTCATGGAGCAAGGCATCCCTATGTTGATAAAAAGCACGCTTGCTCGTATAGGAAAGCGTTCTTCAAGTACTCCGTCACATGGTGGGGAAACTATAAAGAAAGTCATTATCAAATTGGGACCATTATCATGCTTCGTAAATGGTTTGGGGGCGTTGTTTTTGTATAAGAAAAGTATATATACGGACGAAGAGTGTAGTAAGGATGAACCGAACAATTTAGTCTTGGTGGGGTATTGTGGAACGAAAGACTTTCTAGATTATCGGACAAGTATTTCCGGTTGCCGCACGGTAATAATTTCTGCAAAGTTGCTTCCGAGTGCAGTTATCCTGTCCAATAAGATTTTCATTTGATTTTTAATAAATGTAGAGCACACAGTTACAGATTGCAGCAATAATAATAAGGGTATTATATATTCCTGAGTTTTAAATGTACAAATATGTACATATGAACAAACAAACATATTAACAAATTTAATTTAAGTTAATACTAATTAAGAATTATATACGCAGCAAAAACCAATACTGGTAAGAGTAACGTCGAGCTGGCCATAATTGTAGCTCCGTTATTGCCCGAAGAGTCGCTATCTTTATTTAATATCACAATTCTACCTTCAACTCCGGGATAGACAAAGTTATGTTTTTCAATGTATTGCACTGCAGCTTCGTAATCATTAAGCTGTAACCGCTGAGGCGGCAGAGCGTCCTTTTCAACAAAATCATGCCCATCACCGCCATTCAACAGAAATTTCGGTAGAATAACATTATAAAACTTGCTGTCCACCAGATCCATAAAAGCGGGTACATTACAATCGGCGCAACGCACCGCTGCCTTTATAACGCGTTTACCAACTTCTTTACTATAGTCATAGACAACATGAATGCCGGACATTTGCAGGAAACCTCCGTTCGAATCCCTTTTATGCATACTGGCGGAATGTTCGAGTGCCTTACGTACGGTTTTCCCAGTGATTTTTGTAACAAGCAAATCATTATTAAAAGGTAAAACGTTTAAAACATCCGTAGCAAAAATTGAACCATCCGAACGCTTCTCTATGGAAGTTCTTATGCCTTCGGGTAAAAAACGGAAATAAATTCCTGTCCTACAGAACAAATATTAATCGGCAATTATTAGTAATACCTCCACCCGCAGAAAAAGCTATGGGGGCATCTGTCCAATAGGAACCACCCAGGTCTTCTAAAACGCGAGCGTAAACCATAGAGTCTGTCACCATATTACCCATATTGCATTCTTCGCGACGACACTTCTCAGCGCGGCCATCCAAGTAGACTTTAGTATGACCAATAATATTAGTCTCCAAGGCGGTAATATTTGGCCTGTACACTTCCAATAATTCTAATACATCATTTTCACGTGGCACCGAAGCATTCAATAAAATTGGTGTACCATCGTATTCTATTAAATTGCCGTCCTTATCGAACTGTTAATGCAAAAAAGAATTCAAGGCAAAGTAGGGCAGATAGTTTCGGGCCTTCGAGTAAATACCTGAACATGCAGTTTACCCAAATATTTCGTGTAAGCGTAGGCCTGAACCACTGACACTTCTTTGCCACTTTTCTGTTTGATCACGGTTGGATAAGGTCCTTCAATCCGCTCAGCGTCGGGTTGCACA